AATGTATGTTTTTAAGTTACTTATTGCCTTTAAGGCTAATGTAACACGCAAACCGTTTTCTTGCAGTTCTTTGCTGAAGGATTAATTCTGTTAGGTAAATCAGGCCAAAGTATCAAAAAACAAATCAATTTATAATAATTGATTTTGGCACACATACTTTGTGCTTTGTTGTACTGTTGCACTTCTGAAAAGTATTCACCTTCGGATATTTCAAAAAGAGCATCATAGATTACTTTTAGTTGATATCTTAAAGGTCAAATAGCTTCAATTTTGCTTTTCCATCAAGTGTTTGAGAGGGGTTTTAAGGTTAAACAGGAAATGCTTTTCAAAAGAACTGACCATCGCTCAGAGAAGAAGAAAATACATTGTGTAATTCTTAAATTACAAAACAAAACAAAACAAAACAAAACAAAACAAAAAAAACTAACTTTATCTGCATTCACCTTTGTTGCATCGTTAATCATTATATTTAAATTATGAGCGCCACAAGGAACGTAAAATGCAGAAGGATTTATTTTTAAGATATTATGCTGAAGATAAATTTTCTTCTCTTTCATATTTGCACCATTGGCATATCCCTGGCCTCTCATATCATCAAACAGAATGTTCCACATTTTCAACATTTCCGTTACTGTTACTGTTTAGGCCATTACCTGTAGAACCATCAACTTTAATAAAATCTAAAAGTGCTCCTTGAATTCTGATACTCCATCATTGCAGAAGACAAAACGTATCATGACAGTTATCTGTTAAGTTTTGCTAATATCAGGAGTACAATCTAAAAATTTATAATAATACTTGGCTTTTCGAAGAGATAGTAAGATTTTCTCTCTTACACTATTGCATAACTGGCAGTAGTATAAGAGAATACTACTGCCAGTAATTTGCAGCATTATATTTTGACTCTCTTTGTTTAAGTAATGACTTTCCTGCTGCTACCTTTAGGTCTTTCTATGCGAAATTCCATAACTGGGTCGAACTTTGCAAACAGTTCCATTAATTTTAAGATTCTGTTGTGTTTTTGGTACAGCCTATCAGATGAACCTTAAAAGGCTAAATTCTGGCTGGCAAGCAATTTTGTGATCTCAGTCTTCCTAAATACACTTGACCAATGTTTTTGTTTCATTTTATACATCTCCTGTGTTTGGGAATCAAATGTTTTATTTTTAAAATTTTTCTCAAGCTCCAGTGGCGTAGCGAGGGGGGCAAGGGGGTGTATGATGGCCCGGGTGTGGTCTCCAAACAAGATTTTCATCATATCACTGTGTTTTTTGGGGGGGGTTGGCGGTGCTAAAAAGGTATTTTGCCCTGCGCGCCAATTATGATCGCTACTCCACTGTCAAGCTCTTTCCATTTTAAGAAATATTTCATACGTGCTCTACTAGTCTCGTGCCTATGCAAGGCTTTAGATGCATTTATCCAATCATTATAGCTTTTTACGAAGCTACTACTGTCATTCGGTGAAAATATCTTGCAACAGAAGCAAAAAACAGAATTGTTACTTATGGAATGTAATAGCTATGTACGCGAAACTAATTCTCCATTTTACATTTTTCTGTTGTAATATGTATCTCTAAATTTAAGTCCATTAATACTTTTCGGATACATTAACCTTTTTTTTAATAGGCCTCCGTTTCAGACAAAGTCATTCTCACTTTGTCGCTAAGAGTTGGCTACTTTGAAGGATCAGCAAAAAATCAATATGAAGAAAGGAGTTTTCATTTATGCCAGTCTCTTCCATCAAATTATCTGGATAATCTGTAACTGCCAATTCATTTAATTCCATGCTTGGATCATCATTCTCTTCCTTTGGAGTTTCATCATTCCTTTCAATAACTTCACCTATGTAGCTGATGTTCTTTGGCTGGATGATGTCTGTTCTTTTGTGTAATTGATTCTGATGCTGATTCAATTTGAACATCATTTGCATCCGAAGTAGTCTTATCTTCTTTATGAAGTGAGACATTGCGTTTGCCTGCTTCTGAAGGTCATCATCTTTCTCAGCTTTGCGTTTATGATTCTGTGCATGGGATGATTCTTCTTTGTTTCCATATTATCAAAATTTCACATTTAAATTTAAAAATTAAATTCTAAATATTAAATATCTAACCTTTCTTTTAAAATAAACCAAGATATCAGCTAAATATAAGAATAAAGATGAAAAGTTAAAAAACTAAAAAAAAAAAAAAAAAAATTTTATCATAACTTTTTCGAGCAGCTGGTGAAAAATTAACATTTTTCTAACAAATGATAAGGAAAATTTTTGACCTTGTGGTGGGTCAAACTTAAATGCTTGTCAATAGCTCAGTGTACAATGACCCCGAAACTTCTCTCTCCCCAAACACCAGCTAAGTCTTACCCAATCCATCTGTATACCACCACAACAGCACCGAAAACAAAACAAACAGATATCAGCTCACAGTTAGTGTTAACCACATAATAATGCCCCTGTAAATATCCTCCCAGTACATTCAACAGCTTTATCTGAAGTTGTTGTACCCCTATACACATATTTCTTTTTGATGTCGCACTTTATTATTATAATACCTTTAATAATTGAATTATTGTGAAATTCTAATGTTGATTTTTGTTTGTTACTATCCTCAATCTTGTAAATGCTTCCAATGTTTTATTGTATTGTGATTATTCATTTTAACATATCACCTGTCAACAAAAGCATCACAGACAAAATCGCGGATATTTGGACATGTAATTCATGGGGGAAAAAGAAAACTTAACTTCTCCATAATTCTCATCAAAATGGAATCAACAGATGCTGTCGTGAAAAAGCGGCAACAAACAGTCCGATTTCGCAGATGTAAATACAACGTCTAAAGTCTTAGCAACAGATAGAACCACCCTTGATTTCCCTGATGGAGGAATACAACCTCTAAAGTCTTAGCAACAGATAGAACCATCTTCATGTGGTATTTTGAAGTTCAATTTTCTATGTAAATACTATTCATGCATGTTGAAGAAATAACCATTAAAAATACCCCTAAAATTAAATTCAACATCTGAAATGCCTTCTAGTTGAGCGGATTCAGATTTTCTCCAAAGAACAACAGGGAGGTGGGACAATGCGTACCAGGCACATAATTGGAAAATTTCAGAGGATGAAAGTGCAAAATGTTTTGTTAATATACAAAAAATATATGTTTACAACTGGCATGAATTCTACTGTGTGTTGCAAACCTAAGCTTAAATGACCAATGTAGACAATTCTGTTTTTATCTCCAAGGAACTAATCAAATTTTGAAATTTCAACCGTTAACGAGAAAGACAAGGTCTTGTCCTCAGACGATCCAATGCAGCATTTCTCAGCAGGGTACGGGGCAAAGTCCCAGAAGCCAACTTAATATTAAAAAATATAATAAAGATTCTCAATGTTTATGAAAATAACTGAATGTAAAACTCAGTTCTTTACCTCGGGGCCTCTGCCTAGGTGCTTAATGGATAAGCTCCTGAAGCGGCTTTTTATATCCCTTTTGCCTTTCTGTACAAACGTGTGCACGAACACACCAAGATGCTTAATTGGGAGTATAGTCATTAAACAAATTATATAAAAGTTGAGAATTTGGACTTAGACCGATGCTACCCATTTTCCCACGATAGAGGAAAATAAATCCTCTATACGACTTTGAATTTTCGTCCATGCAAATCTTGCCCCCCCCTCTCCAACTCCCGTGAAGAAAAGGAAAAGTTGGCACCTGTGTTCATTCTTACATATGAGGAAATGACAAATTTGTCCTCATAGAGAGGGCTAATCAATTCCTCTCCTTCCCACTCTCAGAAAAATTTTCTAGGGAAAAAAAAGAAACAGTATTTCCCTATACACATTTTAAATGAAAATACAATAAAATTGATTAAATAAATAGAAATTGTATTAATTAAAATAAAATAAGTACATACTTTATCAAATGAATTTTGCTTTTCTAATAGTAGTAAAGTTATTTTACATCGAAAGTTTTCTTAGCCAGCGACTCAATAAATACGCAGAAGGAATGTGTGGATGATACATAACACGTGGCTTTCTAAACAAATGGAAAATTACCATTATATGGTACTAGGTGCTCAGAAGGGTTATTTTGAGTAGTGCACAATGTCTGCAGGTGTAGTCGGTGTACGGTATTATCTAGATTAAACTTACTCACAGTTTGAATTCCCATGCCTTTTGGAACTCAAACATCTTTGTGTGGCACTGTATCTAACAACTGATGCTTGGGTGGCAAGGTATTTGTGTGGCCTATAGAGGAAAGGTGAGGTCCCTGTCCTGTGTAGCATTCAAGATACATTTTTCTTCCCCGGTAAGTGCACATTCTTTTGCATTAAAACAAAAACAAAAACAAACAAACAAAAAAAAAAAAACCTCTATGTTGTTGCATTGGCTGGTCGGTGCCCCTCTCTTGCTCAGCACCCAAGCCCACCTGCGAAGAAAGCTTTGTAGGCCCGCTTCCGCTGGCCCTGTACATACTTATCATATCATGTAGCTTAATCATTTAATGAGGTCCTTTTTATTTTATGCTTAAATGCAGCATTTAATAATTAAAACAATTGTTAAGATACATTCTTTTTTCCTACTTATCTTATATGCAAACATTTGAAAAGTCCTTTGTCTGTAAAAGTACTTTCTTCAAGCAAACAGCTCAAAAATACCATTCCATGCTAAATATCCTAATATGATTTGTTATTAGTTTTTTCATTACAGTCTATTAAAACTATGAAATAAAGATTTTAATCATTGAAAATTTAACTGATTATGTTATATCATTTTAAATATTAAAAAACTAAGAATGTTTTAAACTAAAAGTACAGTTTTTTAGGGTTTGACATTAATTGCACTTTAATGCGTTTTTAATATTTTGAAGTAAAATTTTTGTTGTTTTTTATTTTGTTGTGTTTTTCATGAAACACAAGAAGCTCTGGAAAATTTATGCAAGGAAAAAAAAATTTCAAGTTTGTGTGAATTTTATTGACATTAAGTAATCTCTTCTAATTAGGTGAATGGTGTAGTAGTGTATGGAAGATGTCATCTAAATGCATCAGCCATGATAAAAAGCTTGTCTGGTACAGCTTATAAAATATTACTTTTAAGGTAATATGCCTTTTATATCTCTTGTTGTCTCATTATACATTAGTAAGGCTACAAGTTTGTTTTTTTTTTTTTTTTTAATTAAAAATTATGATAGCATTTTTCAGACAAAGCATTTAGTCATGTAATTTAATTAATAATAATTTTATTCTGAAGTTCTGATTATTAATGTATCGGATTATTTTCATGCTTAACAGTTTGGCAGTTGTGGGATTAACATACCTGCCAACCTCTAAAGATAAAAATTCAGATTTCTCCAAAATTCAGAAGAACACGAAGAATTAATATCATGCTTTGATATTAAAAAATAACAATTTATACAAATAGAAAAAAGAAAATTGTACTTACATTAGTAAATCTCAATTAAGTAGTAACTAAACAATTTATTAGGAAACATAAAACAAGAACTTAAATGTTACACAAAAAAATTATTGCAATGAATTTAGAGTGCATTTTTTGGCTTTAGCCAAAAATTCTTTGTAAAATTTCCAGTCATAACAATTAGTTTCCTCATAACATTTAGCAATTAAAATGTTTTCTAGAGTTTTTTGGTGAAATTGAAGAACGAAACATAGTTTTGTTTTTCTTCACAACACTGAAGACTCTCTTGCACTCAGCATTCCTGTGTGGAATTATGAGAATAGCACATAAAACTCTTGCTAGTCTATCATATTTTGGTGTTCCATCAGCTCTTTTTATTCTTTTTAAGGTACCAACGAGGACATCAAGTCTATCTTCTGCAGAACTGGCAAAGTCTTCAAACTGTGCAGCAGAAAATTGGTTCTATAGTTCGTCTAAAGCATCATTATGGCATTCATTTTCTTAAATTGTTAACAAAAATGGAAATTTATCATTAAAAAAACGAATTTTTTCAAAAGATGAATTTTCAATTTGTTTCAAATTTGCCACTTCAGCATTTAAAAGAACTTCATTTTGCAAAGGAAACTTCCTTACAATGTAATCACAGGCTGAGGAAAAGTACTTTCTAACACATTGAAAAATTCTTTTTTCTCATGATCTTTCAAAGAATTTACAAGTTCCCTGGTTTGATTTCCAATTATAAGATCATTGTCCATCCTTTTGATTTGCCAAACTATTATAGGCAACACAAATTACAACACACTGTTTTTCACAACGGACGGTTTTACAAACTTAGTTATAAAGTTCTTTCAAAAGATCATTAAGAATTTGGATACAAGCAGGGGAGATTGTTGGCGAAGCTGATTGTAGAAGGGTATTTACACTTTCAAAAATCTTAATGGTACTTAACACAAAACTCTGCAATATGCTTTGTTCAAATCCGAAGAAAGAAGATAGAAAATCCTTTCCTCCCGGCTAATAGAAGACTGTTTCTTCTTCCCTTCAACTTCTTTAACAAAGTTGACCTTTGAGGAGTCTTCTAAGCATTTTCTTTTTAAAGGGTTCTTATTATTTATTATTTGATTCGTGTGTTGGCCTTTCCCTTTTAAAGCATTTTGATTAGAAGCAAAGTTGGTTTTCGGAATCTTATATGCCGACAAATTTGATGGGATCTGTGGTTTCGTTTCGGTCTCTTCGTGGAAATATTTTAGCAATGCATCCCACTGTTCAATAAACCTTCCTAGCGCTCTGCCTAAGGATAACCATCTCGTGCATACATGTTTCAGAATTTTTCTCGTTTCACCAAAGCACAATTCTTGGAAATTCTTTAGGTTTTCTTTCCTTTTTACACTTTTTTCCAGATAGAAAAACACATCAATCAGAAGCTGGTCAATATTTAATGGTAAAGCAGCTGCAGCTTTTTCTGCTGCCAAATTAATTAAATGGCATGGGCATCCAATAACAATTAATTCATTTTGTTCATTTTTGAGGAAAGAGGCTACACCCTTTTTGTCACCCACTATGACATGAGCATTATCTGCACCAAATGAAATGCAGTTTGATATTGGAATGTTAAGTTGTTTCAACTCATTAATTACCAAGGAGGCAATATTTCCCCCGTAGCATCTCCATTTAACAATGGAAGATGCAAAAGATGAGTTTTCATTTCATTAGAAACATCACAGAAATATGTCACAAAGATGGGGTAAAGCTTCCAATTGCTGTCGTTGCTGCTATCGATTGACTCCGAAAATGCTGAATTCTGGAGTGCAGCTATCGTTTTACTTTGTGCATAGCAAGCAATTTCGTTCACAATAGAAGATGTTTTCGTGCAAGCACAAGCATATTTCTGAGCAATCTTGGAGTCGGGAAACATCCGTCTGAAAAGTTGACCGGCGTGATCGGCAGCCCTTAGCCGCACGTAGTGTTCGATGAGGAATGCAGTAAGCAAACACTCTGCCAAAATGACATCGGCATCCGAATTCGTAGCCGAATTTGAAAAAAAATTATCCACTTTCTTTGACGTTGTCAAAGCCGAAGCATTAACTTCATGCTTTTTAGACTTAACATGCTTCACAATGTCGCTTCTTCCACCGTGACTTATTATAAAGTTACACATGCACACGTTGCAAAATGCATAGTTATTTCCTTTGAAGGATTCTTTAATTGTTGGAAATTCGGCTTTGTAGGCAGGCCGAAAATATTGAGAATACGGTTTTTTTGAACTCATTTCGTAACAACAACGTATTAAGAAAATTCATAGCATGTGCAAACAAACAAACAAACAAACAAAAAAACAAAAAAAAAAAAAAAAAAAAAACAGAATGCGACAATCCACGCTCGCTGAGTAATTCCCTTGCTGCTGAAGCGAACGTGAAAAAAATAATCTGGCGCCCATAAAGAAAAGAGTGGGAGAAACAAGTTCAGCGCATTGGATTGGCTGATTAAGCGCCGAGTTGGGAGAAACCGCAGGTTACTGGATTTGAAGTAATCGGTAGTTGGCGGTAAAACACGATGCAATTAGCGAAAATCGCTGAATTGGCGAAAAATTCTCAAATTTCGACAAAAATCATTAAAAACACTTGAAAAAGGAAAAAAAATCATAAAAAATGGATTACGATCGTAAAATCGTAAAGACAAACGCATTTTCGTAAAAATTACGAAAAATTCGTAAAAGTTGGCAGGTATGGATTAAGCCATTCTTTCTACCCAACTATGCACAATATCTGTCAGTTGTAAATTTGTAAGGTGAGCTGTTTTTATTTACATCCACTGCAATGCGCAACTGGAATGTGAGCTGAGCTCGTTGATGACCATCAGAAAGTTAAAAATCCTGTAACAAAAATTTTATCTTCAGAATTATGCACAGTTTTATTATTTACTTTTAATATGGTAATTTTACAGAAAATTATAATAAATTTTCAATTTTTTCATAAAAACATTTATTCAGATTTGGATTTAATGCTTTATTTGTTCATTACCTTGTGATATACATAGTAAATCGTTATATATTTACTGCTTTATTAAGGAGTTTTTCATTTGATTATATATATATGAAATTCTTAAAAATTTTATGTGATTTCTGATTAGAATTGCAATATATTCGTTGACTTCCTTTGAAGGTTTAAATTATCATCTAGTAGATTTCTTTTTCTTCTTTAATTTCTCAAATTTTATATTTTTTGGGGCAAACATCAGAATATGAACTGCCAAAATTAGGACAACTGATATAAATCTTAGCATGCATTAAAAACTACCTTTGTCAGTTTTGATAACAGTGTACAAAAGAAGTGACCGATTAAATGGCCAGTTCTCTTGCTTGAGTGAATTATTTAATGAAATCTCTATAAAAATTTAAGATTTTTCTTGAATTTTTTTCTTTTCTTTCTTTTCTTTTTCTTTTTCTTTTCTTTTTTTTTTTTTAGTGACAATGAAAACTAATATCAATCTGTCTATGTTAAGTTTTTTATCTATCTGTTATTCTTATGTTTAATGATACACTGAGATAAAAGGATATTTTATACTTATATAAATAATCTAAATCTTCAAAATTTTTAATATATATATAAATATTTTTGTACAGGAGGGAGGGTGCTATTGATGAAATGGCTGTCAAACCTCTAACTCAGTTTCCTTCAGAACTTGATGAAGAGGTATGTATCTTTTTACTCATATTTTCTGTTGCAGTTTATCTAGTCTATATTTAAATGTTCATGTTAAAACAGTATTAAAATTAATTTAAATACTGGACCAAAAGATTTACAGTTAATTTTATTCAATTGAAAGTAAATATATCAAAGGATGAGCACTTATTTAATTTTTTAATTAACCTTTAGAATTTGCTTGAAGTTATTATCATTAGTATAAAGGAAAATGATAGTTTAACAATTATATTTTTGTAAATAAACATTGGTCATAATGTTTAGGATATAGCTGTGTGTAAGCTTGTCAAAATCAGACAAGATTTTGTAGAAAATGGTGATTTGTCGAATGTTTAGTGGTTCTGTATTTTGTTTAGTCATATTTTTCTTTTGTAAATTTTATTTAAAATTTTCTACTGAAAGTCAAATTTTTGTCAAATAAACATTGCTCATAATTTTTGGGATATAGCTATGTCTACACTGTTAGAATCAGACAGGATTTTGCAGAAAATGGCACTTTGTCAAATGCTTAATGATTCTGTATTTTGTTTATTACGTCTTTCTTTTGTAAATTGTATTTTAAATTTTCTGTTGAAAAACAAAATTTACTTTTTCAGCTGAAAGACAAAATTTATTTTAGAAAATCTAAACAGTTCACTTGGCATAAGATATATATATATAGCACAAGTATTAGGCAATTTATTACTAATAATTACCTTGTTTACTTATATATATATATATATATATACAGTACACTCCCGATTATCCGCGGAATTGGGTGGCGCGCGGCCGCCGCGGATAACGAAAATCGCGGATAATCCGAAAAAAGCTAAAAACGAGTATTGCAAAAAAGAAAATGGTCATTCCATCTTTGAAAAATCTTTTTATGTACAATAAAATATAAAATAAACAGCAGGAAATGTTTAACTAACGCTTAATATTTTAATATATCACTCAAAACTAACGTAAAATGCATTTTGTTAATGAAAACAGAAAAGTGCTTTGTACTTACGAGAGGCGTCAAGGATACACAGAAAAATTAATACGTATGTGCTGTTTTAATACTGTAATGTATTATGTAGTTACAAAAGCATTAACTGTAAAACTACACCTTTTTGTAGAAATCAGTCATTCGTGTTTGCTTCTTGCTTTGGAAGCATTTTCTCTTGATCCGAGATTGCATTTTTCGTAGCATAAGTTTCTCAGCCAACTTTGTGTCGTCTTGTTCTTCCAAATAGCTCAGCAGTCTGTCGACTTGTTACAAAGCCGCTTCGTGAGTTTCCGCATCTGCACAGTGGGCTCGTCTTCACCTTCACTTCGTTGTACTTCATTATCGGCCTTTCTCCTCACAATTTCGTCATATGTCAAGTGTTCGAAGCCAGGTTCGTTGACGTCACACTCCAATCACTCGTTAATGTTTTCAGCATCCACGTTCTCTCACCCCCCAGAACTGTTTTCACCATATCGACGACAAGAGATGCTGTGGGCGTGTCCACATCTTCATTCACTTCTTCACAACTCAAAGGGGTTAGGTTGTTGTTGGCTTCAACATTAGGCATGAGTTTTCTCCATGATTTTATGAGGGTTGACGGTTTCACCGAGTCCCATGCAGATGCAATATCATAGATGCTGTCCAAGATTGTGTAGTGTTTCCAAAACTCTTTCAAATCATAACTTTCTTCAATTTTGGTCACTAGCAGCTTGGTTCGGTATGTTCTCTTCATTGTTGCAATGACTCCTTGGTCCATGGGTTGGATTAGCGCAGTAACGTTTGGGGGGAGAAACTGTAAAAAATCTGTCTATCAGAAGACTTTAGCACGCTTGTTGCTGGGTGAGAAGGTGCATTGTCGATCAATAGCACAGCTTTTCAGTCAGGTTTTTCGATTTAAGATGTTTACGCACTTGAAGAACAAAGATTTTTTTCCATTTTTGAAAAATGTTTCGGTTCATCCATTTTTTTTTTTTTTTTTTTTTTTTTAAGTAATCAACGGGCAAATTTTCTATCCTTGTGCCTTTAAAAGATCTCGGTTCTTCTGACTTTCCAATTACAACAACACTAAGTCTAAGTTTATGTCCACCGGTAGCATTACTGCAAGACATGATAGTGATCCTTTCCTTGCTGCTTTTATGACCCACCGCTTTACTTTCACTTTCAAATGCTAAAGTGCGAGTGGAAAGACATTTCCACAAAAGTCTCGATTCATCGGAAATGTAAATTTGTTCAAAAGATAGCTCTTCGTTTAAAACAAATTCTTCAAATTCATGATGGAAATCATTGGCTGCTTGTTGGTCACCACTAAGTTTCTCCCCATGAAGTCCAATTTCTCGAATTCCAAGATTAAGATGAGAGAGGGCGGTGGAGCGAACACTGCAGGGGTGAGTGAGAAATCAATTACTTATCAAGGGGAAGGTTCCGAGAAGGCCTGGGATATTTTTGCCTTAAATAAGCACGATGTTAGCAAATTTAATATTTCGCTCAGTTTTGTGAATTTGTGAACATTTTTATTTTCTTTGCTTTATGCTTGTAAAAAAAAAAAAAAAAAAAAAAAAACTTTCTGCGGCAGGCGCGGATAATCAGCCCGCAAATAATCAGGAGTCTACTGTATATATGTATATGTGTGTGTGGTAAAATATAAAAAATATGATGGGGCTTTGCTCTACGCGAACAGGCAACCTCTAATTAACTTCCCACAATTTCAGGATTTTTCCCCTAGACCAGTACTTTCGAGAACATTCTGGCATGTTATGTAGTCACTATTATAAATGTAGAGTTTGTGCCATTTTTTGTCAGACTGCTGAAATTGAATAAGTCAGGACAGCTCAGTGGTATTACACTATACTCTGCAGATCTACACATTTATGGTTCGAATCCCACTCAAGATTAATTTTTTACTCGACGCTGCAACTTACAAATTCAGACTTGTACAATTTTAGATCTTCACGTTTACTCTATTTGCAGTACATTTTGTAGAAATATGCATTCTACCTCCTCGCAATTAATTAATTTTGTCTCCACTTCAGAATTGCACTTGACTACGTAACTCTCCACCATGATGATAGATTACGACATTTATGCAGACTTTAGCTAATACAAGAATTCTTAATTTTTCGCCCTTTTCAGGGCCACATTCTTAACTAACATGCACCCTCTAGGGACAAGCACTACTTCAATACTTAAACATGGTTCGTATGGTCCTTAAGAGTCCTTAGATTTTTTGGAATCGATTTTTGATCCTTAAAAGTCCTTAATTTTAGCCAAAATCAGCATAAGGTCCTTAATTTTAATCATCCGAAATTTCTGTCAGTTTTTACGACTGCCATTTTGACTGTGAATTAGCATTTTATTGTAATATTTTTGGCGATTCATTGACATATATATGGTTATCTTTTGAATGGGTTCATGAGTCATAATTTGTTTCTAATATAAATGATGGGATACTCGAGTTTCTAAGCAAGAAGTGAAACATAAGCATTTCAAAAGTCATTTTTTTTTTAATAAAGAGCTTTTAAAATTTTCGCTTTTGGGGATGTGAATTCTTTTATTAAACGGTTCTAAATTTGGCGACTTTTCAACATTTTGGGGATTTTAAGATCAATTTATATGGAAACTTTTTATTTCCGAGACCTGAGAATTTTTCGACGATTTTTTTTAAAACATCGTAGCATTGATAAATTTCAGTAAAATAATAGTAATATATGGAAATTATATTTAAAAAATAACATTAAAATAAAACATTTTTATTTTTCGCTGTCATATTGTGAAGTTTCATTTTGGCAACTTATTATACAATATTTTTAATCTTAAAAATATACAAGGTATAATGCTATAAAGCACAATTTACGAAACAGCTCTTAGCAAAAGCAAAATTAGCTATATAATAAATTGAAAATATCTTCTTTTTTATTTTCTAGTAGTAAGAGTTTTTCCCGTGTAATTATCTCAGAATATTCAAAATTCTCTAAACATGCATCAGTTTTCTCTATAAAATTAATTTTGCACTTTTCCCCTCTCTTTTTTTTTTTTTTTTTCCCAAAAGATTTCTGCCCTTTTGCTGTTACAGAAATTGTAGGAATAATTTTTCTTTAGGATTTTAGACATTGCAGCTTAGAAAGTATAGAAGGATTTGAACGCAAGATTTATAGACCCACGATTCTAGAAGTTTCGAGAAATATGTGACAAAATGAAAAATGTCTCCGTGGTATCAACACGTAATGGGTGTATTTTACAGAAAGTTTGCAATGAATTTCTTACTGAGAACATCTGGAAGAACAATGAAAACATAATATTTGAATGTTTTACTTCTGATACTAGAACCTTAACATGTTTATCTTCCCTTTATTTTCTCTACTTTTCACTAGACACAAGCATGGAAAATATCAAAAATGCTTCTAATCTTATCACATGGGCAGGCATTATAGGAAGGGATTTTTTTTTATTAATAAAGAAATTGAAAACTTACAATTTAAAAGATTCATCTAATATGTCTTAATGCATCATACACATAGCTGGCACTAGGCATTTTCCCACCTGATGCAATCTCTGTGGATCCTAAATTCTGCTGCCTAATACCTTTCTAAATTCTGCTTACAATGCCTGCTCTAAATTCTAAAATTTTGCCATTTGTCAATTTTCTAGTTGTTTGGTGTGTCACTAAATTCTAAAATTTCTGCCACATCAGCTCTGTAACCAGCCTTTAACCCTCTCAGCGTTACAAACGAATTTTTCCATATTAAAAGATGGCTTTCCAAATCGTCAAGCACAGATTATTTTGCCAGCTTTTGTTGAATCCGAAAGCATCTCAAACGACTTTTTCTGCCTTACTTTTTCCGCCTCGAAATCCTTGAGAATGGAATATTCTGTACTGTCATTCTTGACCTCTGACCTGTTGCACTTAATTGGTAGTGGGGAAACAGCGATCGTTAGAGAAAGATGTTACAATGGGAGGGTCATAAATAAAAACAACATCAAATCCAGCCGTACCATCTGCCGACCTGAGGGATTTTCATGCTGA